CCTTGTGCGCCGAGGCCGGGAAGCTCCGCTGCCAGATGCTGCCCGAGTCCTCCAGCAGCGCGGGCAGCGCTTCCTCGGTGGAGGCGCTGTCCAACTCCTCGTCCACCTCGTCGGTGACAGCCCAGGACACCGAGCTCACGATCACGTACCCGGCGGCCGGGGACAGCAGGATGCTGCAGCACAGCAGCCAGGACAGGCGCGGCCCGGGCCGTGGCGGCCGCTCGCCGCCGCACACGGACATCTTGCAGGTGGGGCGCCCGGGCTGCGGGGGACCGCGAGCCCCGAGGCAGCGGCGGACGGGGCGGCAGCGCCTCCTGGCGCCGGAGCGCGGAACTGGAGTCGCGTCTGACCGCCGCAGGATGCCCGGGTGGGGTTCCTGGATGGGGACCTTCCCATCCCCACCCTACCCCACCAGTGCCCTTGAAGCCCTTTTCAGGGTGTGGACACCACGGGGGGATCCCGGAAAGACCTGCGGCTGCGCGGTGCGCATTCCTTGTTTCAGGCCAGATCCAGGGATGAGTTGTTTTCCCGCTCAGGTTCTGCAGCAGCAGGTGAGCGTTTAAATCTGACTCAGTGCACCCCAACTGTTTCCCTGCCCGGCTTCTCCATGTGTCTGCGCCTCTTTACCTTCATTAGATGATGAAGTTAATACCTAGGAGGCTTAGATCTGAGGACCGAGGTTTTGAAGCCAGCCAGGGCAGGAAAGCCAGAGAGACTCTAATCTCTCATTAAGCACCCCCAAAAATCAGGAAGTGGAGCTGGCTATGGTTTAAGCTGTAAGAGCACCAGCTTTGGATGAGAAAGCTCAGACACAGAGCACAGGTCCTGAATTCAAGTCCCAGTATTGGCACAAGAAAGAAAGACCCATAAAAAGGAAGAAAGAATTTAACGTTTACCTCTCGGGGTGATGGTTTGTGGCCAAACTGTTTCTCTGATAGTATAATAAAATCATTTCACCCTGGGGGAGATGTTGCCATAATGCACTATAAATCAGAATTGAGTTATTGAGGAAGGGGTCAGTCGTCAGAGAAGAGGTAGAAGGGCAGAGTGGGAAAACAGGGGTTCCAAGGGTTTGAGCACCCAAAGCTTCAAGTGCTGCCACCTTTCCCATGAGAGGTGTGAAGAGGTTTGAGTGGATGGCTGGAGCCCTTGGGGGGAGTCTTCAGGATGGGACCCCATGAATCCTGGTGTCTGTGTTAAAAGAGGAAGAGCTCTCTCTCACTTTCTCTCTCTGTCTCTGTCTCTCTGTCTCTGTCTCTGTCTCTCTCTCTCTCTCACACACACACACACATGCTCTTGTCCCTCTCCAGTGATGACCCAGATCACCTCTCAACTCTGCCAGCAAGAAGCCACCACCAGGCACCTTCACTACATCTTACACCCCCAAAACAGAGAGCCAAAGTAAACCTCTTTTCTTCTTCACATTCCCCAGCCTCTGGTATTGCACTGTTGGCCATAGAAAACAGACTCATACATTTGGGTAATTTCCAGTAAGAAGTTTCATAGATGTCAAAATCATTTCAAATTCATTAAAATTTCTTCGGCTTATGACACCCCTGAATTTAGGCCCCTCAGGAACATTTCTACTCTAAATGTTCCACCCCAATTAGTCCTGCTTCAAATTTGTTCTGGATAAAGATATTTTGAAATAGCACTTATTTTTTAACAAAGTGTTTTGACGAATGATACCAAAGTGTTCACTGAATAGTCCATTGTCTGCCTCACTCTCTACCTGTCTCCTAGTCTTCCCTCTCATTTTCTTTAGTTTTCTTAAGAAAGACTGCTTCAAGGGGAAGTTTGGTTGTGTCCCCAGACACCTTTTCAGATGCCTATTTTTTTATTTTGACAGTATTGTGGCTGGCACTCTACTACTTTGAGCTATGCTTCCAGCCTAACTTTTTGCTCTATTTTTTTTTTTTTGAGACAGAATCTCAAGAATTTTTTTTTAACCCAGGGTATCCTTGAACTGTGATCCTCTGGATCTCAGCTAGGTTTACAGGCATGAGCCATCAGCACCCAGCTTAGCTGCCTACTTCCTAGTCTTTAATATCAGAGTCTTCCTCTTCCTCCTCTTCCTCCTCCTCCTCTTCCTCCTCCTCCTCCACCTCCTCCTCCTCCTCCTCCTCCTCCTTCCTCCTTCTCCTTCTAGTCTTCTTCCTCTTCTTCATTATTCTTCATACTGGGATTTGAACTCAGGCCCTAGTACTTGCTCTATCACATGAGCCATATTTCCAGCCCCTTTCACTTTAGTTATTCTTCTGGTATAGTTTTTCTCAGGGTTGTAATACTCGTATGTCTATCTCTTAAATTGCTATAGTTACAGATGTGCAGTACCACACCCATCTTATTGGTTGAGATGGAATCGCATAACTTTTATTCACCTCCACCCCTGCCCTGAATGGTAATCCTCCAATCTCTACCTTCTGAGTAGCTGGGATTACTGAGATGATGTTTTTTTTTTTAATTTTTACTGTTTAGATCTTATGCTTATATCTCCAATCCACTTTGAATTAGTTTTTTTTGTATAAGATAAAGGTCCAATATCATTATTTTATATGGAGATATTCGATTTTTGAAACACATTGTTGAAGAGACTTTACCTATTGTACTGTTTCAGAATACTGGCTAAAGATTAGTTGACGTACATGTAGATTTATTTCCTTTCAAAATCCAACTTAATTTTGTTGATATTTTTCTTTCTCTATTTTGTTTCCACTCTAATCTTTTTATTCCTGTCTTTCTACTAATTTTGGGCTTATGTCATTCTTCTTTTGCCAATTCCTTTAGTTGTTAACATTCTTTTTTTTTTTTTCTGTTGGTCGTGGGGCTTGAACTCTGGGCCTGGGTGCTGTCCCTCAGCTCTTCAGCTCAAGGCTAGCACTCTACCACTTCAGCCACAACACCACTTCCAGTTTTCTGAGTGGTTTATTGGAGATAAAAGTCTCACGGAGTTTCCTTCTTGGGCTGACTTTGAACTATGATCCTCAGATCTCAGCCTCCTGAGTAGCTAGGATTACAGGTGTGAGCCACCAGAGCCTGGCATTAACATTCTTTTTAAATGTAGGTATTTGATGCTATAAATTTCCTTCTTATTATGCTTTTGCTACATCTAATAAGTTTTAGTATGCTATGTTTCATTCTTGTTTGTCTCTATATTTTCTAATTTCTCTTTTGATTTTTCTTTGACCTATTCATTGTCCGAGAATGTATAATTTCCATGTACTTTAAAAATTTCTAGTTTTTTTCTGCTATTTATTTCTAGTTTTATCACACTGTGATCAGAAAGGCATGTGGTATCATTTCAGCTTTCTTTGTTAAAGTTTGATTTGTTTTCTGACTTAACATGTCATATTCTAGAAAACATACTGTGTTATCTTGAGAAATATGTATATTCTACCACTTTTGTGTAGAATCTTCTATATATGTTAAGAATAGTTGGTCTATCACTATGTTGAAAACGAACTTTACAACTTGGGGGAGGGGAAGAGTTGGGGAAGCGATGGTAGGGGGAAAACAAAGGAGTAGGTAACAATCCTTGATAGGAAATGTAGTCATTACCTTAATGTAACTGTAACTCCTCTGTACAGTATTTCTACAATAAAAAACATTAAAAAAAAAAGAAAAGTTGGTCTACATTGTTGTTCAAGCAAGTCCTCTGTTATCTTACTGGTCGATATGAGTAATATAGCCACTATTCAAAGTGGGGTATTGCAAACTCCTACTATTATTGTGCTGTGGTCTCCTTCTCTTCAGATTTCTTCCACCACCCACAGCCTCACACATACTCAGCATGCTCTCTATTACTAAGCCACACCACTAGACCCTCCCTTTGGTTTCATCAACTTTTATTCTTTATGTTTCGATGCTCTGATATTGAGTGTGTTCTATATTCCTGGTTAATTAATCTCAACATTATATAATGTCCTTCTTTGTCTCTGACATTTTTTGGATCCCAAATCTATTTTGTTTCCTACAATATGATCTCTTCTGGTTGCTATTTGTATGGATTATCGCTCTTCATTTAGTCTATTTGTGTTCTTAAGTCTGAAGTGAGTATTTTGTAGGCAGTATAGTTATATTTCCTTCCTTAAATCCACACATTTACCAACATGTCTTGTGGCTGAGTTTAAGCCATTTATATCTAAAGTAATTACTAATGGTGAAGGACTTACTTTTGCCATTTAGTTATTTTTTGCTTGTCTTACAGCTTTTTGTCCTACATTTCCTCTCCTATTATTCACTTTTATGTTTCATTGATTTGTGGGGTGTGTGTGTGGGGTATGTTGACATACTTTGATTTCTTTCTCATTTTCTCTGTGTCTCTTCAATAGATATTTTCTTGGTCGTTATTTTGAAGCTTATATAAAACACTTAATAGTTGTAAAATTCGGTTTGAAACAAATGACAACTTGACTTTGAATTTATACACAAATCCTACTCCTTTGTTCCCTCTGATTTTAAGTTAATGGTATCATAAATGATGCTTTTTTGTGTTGTATATCCATTCATCTATTTTATTTATTTTTGTGGTGATTTATTATACCATTGTTTTTCAGCTTAGATACCAAAATTGAAGGTGATTTGTGCACTGTACCAGTATCATAGTAATCTGCATTTATCTATAGGTTCACCTTTGTTAGCAAACCTCATACCTTCCTATGACATCTTGTAGCTCTCTGAAGTCTTTTCATTTGGCCTGAAGACTCTCCAGCATTGGTTATAAGGTGAGCATAATGATAAAAAGCTCCTTTTATTTTAGCTTTTGTTTATCTGGGGAAATGTTTGCCCTCTTCATTTTTCAAGGACAGTTTTTTTCAGATATAGTCTTCCTTTGGCAGCGTTTCCTCTCAGTTTTGAATATATAATCCCTCTCCCTACTGGCTTGAAAAGCTTCTGCTGAAGAGCTGCTGTAGAACCCCCCCTTGGAAATGATGAGTCACTTTTTATTTAATTAGGTAGCTAATTAATTAATTTTACTGCTCTCAAAATTCTCTTTGACTTTTGGCAGTTTGATTATGTCTTGGAATTGCATTCCTTAAGTTCCTTATGGTTGGAGGTCATTTGAGTTCTTGTATCAAGATATCCATTTTCTTCCCCAGATTTGGGAAGTTTCCAGCCATTATTTCTTCAAATAAGCTTTATGCCTTTCCTCTCTCTTCTTTCCGGACTCCCATAGTGCATCACACATGCTGCATTTATCTCCTGGAGTTTTCTTTTTCTCCTTTGACTAGTTAATTCATA